TCCAAGGCGGTAAAGGTCCTTTGTTTGACGGGCTTTCCAAAGGTTTGAGGTGCTCGGCCTGTTTCCAACACTACATTTTACCACTCGTTCTATATCGTGGGTTTGGAGTAAGCTATTCAGTTCTACGACACGATTTAGATGCATACTTGGTCTCTATCAAACAGGACAGATAAATGTAAATAAAAGGAGAACTTTGATCTCATATTTCTAATCATATGTTTTTGGGCTTTTTTTGGTTCCTCCAACAGTATGCTCGCAAATTATTACACTGTCTTGAAAAGTTGATGCAAACTATTTAAATTATGACGAGTACCGTAAAACCCAACTTCAGTTTAAAATAATTAGGTTGTGGGAGTTCTTAAAGGTGTTGGCCATAAATCTGGTGGAACAAAAATCGGTTGTTGGAGCTAAAGCCAGTCCTTTCAAGCTAACTAGGGTGAGATTTCGGCGAGTGTTAGTTTTCCTTGAGTAACAGTTGATGTGGCAAGTATTATTGAAGCAGAAATATTGGTGGTTTTAAGGGTGGGATAGAAGTCTCTTTTAAGGTCGGTAAAATATGGATCAAGCAGTCAGTGCTGTTTCATGACTACCTGGAAATTAGTTTCATGACAATGTTCTTTACTAATTTCTCCATAACTTTGAAATGAGTTAATTGACATTTATAAGAACTACTCCTTACTTCAAAGTAATACAGAAGTAGCGTGTTTAGAGTAAGGTAGGAGGTTTACTGCTGACTAGATCGTCGAAGATGGCAGACATAAATGTAATTTCTTGTCAGGTTGTTTGTTTTTTTGTTAGTAGTGAACAGCTGAGCCGATCATATCCAAGTTCTGAAGTTGGAAAGATCAGGCTTTTTTGGACTGCAGTTTAACAGATTATGAAGTTTCTTGAAGCCTGTGTGTAAGTCTTCAAAAAGTTAGAATTGTCTTTTGGAGTGTGACTGGTAGTACTTTGACAGACCATGAAACATTTTGGAGGTTTTCTTTGTTTGACTTGAAAACTAGTACTCTTTTCTGACTTTTTGGATATTTGGAAGCAAGTAGTTTTTTATATAGATGTCGCCTTACAAGGGAGGGTTAAGTTTTGTTGAGAAGCCCTAGAAAAGGCATTATCTAAACTCCGAAGGAGTGCCACGAGCTTTTAAGGACGGCAGCAAGGATCAGGTGGGGAAAGGGTTTACTAGAATTTTGCCGACCAAAATCTGTTTGTTCTGAATATGGGAACCTGCTCAGGAAGTATATGTTTAAAAGTAAAACCGAAAGAAATTTGTTATTGCTAAAAATTGTGGTTTTTTGTAGCGATAAAGAGCTTAACAAATTTAATCTGTTTCTTTATGAAATAGTGAGATATTTGTAATTTCCTTGCTTCTTCTTTGTCTTGTGATCAGCAACAGTTCTTCATTAGGGAAATAAATCTAGAATTTCCCTGATGTTGATTGTCACATCAAAATTGGCATAAGCAGGAGAGGATGCTTTTATAAAAATTTTTTCTTTAGGATTTGTTTTCGAAATGACATTGCAGAAGTTGATTGAAAATCATCCAAATTGTTTGTTTTACAGTAGTATATTATAAATTGATTTACTTTAGTAAAGTTGATAAATTTGTAAATGTTCGAAAAGCTGATGCAAATTCAATGCAGTTGACGAATCCGACATGGATACATCATTCAGGTCCGTTTTATGTTCACTTAAATTTCCCAACAGACTCAATTTCTTTTTGTAATATGCCAGACAAACTGAAGTACTAACGTCGCTGTGGGTTTTTTTTTATAATTATCTTTTATCCACTTTGTGGTCGGATAGTTTGTGATTTCTGCTTTTTTGTACTAGTTACCAGTATCAGGTGATGGTAATGTATTTTTAGTAAACAAAGTTGTCTCTTTAGGTGGTGCTATTTATTCAATAGACTTCCATCCAAATGGGACAAAACTTGCGACCTGTGGTCAAGGTAGCGAAGGAGGATCTGGTTTAGTCATCATATGGAATGTAAAACCAATCACAAATGAGAGGAAGGCTCAAGACTCTTGTTGCCCAAGGATGCTCTCACGTATGCTTCACCAGGGTATGAGTCTTCTTCTAGAATCTTTGTTTTATTGTTACTTGTTGGTGTATCTTATGAAAGTGTAGTATTTTAAATTGTTTTTATCAGTTTTTTATGTCTTCAGTGTTAGTTTATTGGATGCAATATAGCAACTGGAATTTTTATTATTTCATTATATTCTTTTTTTTTTCTAAAGTTTCGTTTCCATTTTAAATATCAATTTTTACTTCACAACCTCTCATTTAATGCTCATTATATTTTTGAATTTGAATAAAATGCCCCTTTAAGTGTTGAAGAGCTTTTGTCAAGGTTTCAAGTCATATTACTCGGGAAAATGAGATTTTATGTTTCAGTAACTGTTGTAAATTTTTTTTTTTAAAACTAAAGTTTGTCACATGGTCTTCACTTGTTGGTTCTAGAGTTCTCTTTTTACTATATCTTTTTAAATTAATTTTTATCTTTTGTGCAGTGTTGCAGTGTAAAACTGTTTTTGTCCTCGCTGCTTTGCTTCATTCTGGTTGATTAAGTGCTGCAAGTTTATCATAAAAAGATGTATTTTTTGTAGCATACGGTTAATATGTGGGTATATACTCATCATTTTGGGTTTTCCGGACCTATTTTGCTATTGATTATTAATTAGTTAGTTCTATAGATTGACTTCTGTTTCAAATTTTCGTGTTAATTTTTTAAAATGCCTTTTTAATTTCTCGTCGATCAGTTTTTTAGCATGTGTAAATTGCGTGAGATGGTCTCCGGATGGGAGCTTCCTTGCCTGTGGTGGAGATGAACATGCCCTCACTATTTGGGAGTTTGGAGGAAGAATTAATAGTGCTGGAACAATAGGATCGAAGGTCGGTATCACATATTAGTCGCTTGGTGGGAGAAATTGTTTATTTTTGCAAAGGAGCTAAAATGTTTTTTTTTTGGAAGCATCACTTGTAAACTTCTTAGGTTCTTTTGTTTGACAAGTGTTTCAGTGACTAGAATTTGTAACTTTAGTTTAGGACAGTATAAATGTTGAAAAGTACCGAGAAAAGTATCGCTTACATGGTCATACAATGGACATTTTGCATCTTGAATGGTCAAAAGATGGAAGGTTTTTGGCTTCTTGTGGAATGGATAATACGACTGTTGTATGGGATGCTACCAATTTTCCTCGTAAATATCAGAATTTTTAAAGCTATTTTTGCTTTATATTCAGTATTAATGAGGCACTGAATTGCAGACAAAGTAACAATACTGGACAAAAATCGTGATGGTCATGATGCGTCTGTTAAAGGCTTGAGCTGGGACCCGATCGGAAAGTTCCTTGTTACTCAGGGTGCTGATAAAACTTTGAGAATATGGAGGACTGACAACTGGCGTTGTGTTAAAATAATCAAAAAGCCTTTTCTAGAAGTATGCTTCTTATATTTTTGGCTTATTCGTCAATAGTGTTTCAGACTAGTTATGTTGCAGTAGCATCATGGATCTACAGGGTTGCATAAGTTTTTTAATAAGTTTTTGTCATGGTTTCAACTTAGCTCCTACGTTTCACCCTCTTAAATTTCTGCTCTAACAAAACATTTCGAGAGGTGGCCCTCTTGGTTCTAAAATTGAGAAGAAGACATTTATTTTATCACTCTGTTTTGCATTTAAAGTGATATTAACCATTTTTTTTTGACAAATGAGGCTTGTTTATGTTTCTGAAAAAGAATTGGATTTTGAAAGCCATTGTGATGCAGCTGGTTGAATTTTTCTAACTTAGATAAGCCATATTCTCTTTTGCTCTGATACAAGTCATGTTCATTACTGGAGTTTAAGAGTAGCCCTACTGCCATGTTTTGTCGCATGGACTGGTCTCCTGATGGTGCGTATCTTGTAGTTCCTAGTTCGATGAACAATGCTGGTCCTACTGCACACCTTATACGACGGAAGGTAACAGGTTTTTTCTTTTCTTTTGTGAAAAAGGGTTTTCACAAGTGCGTGATTTTATTTGCTCAAAACTTTACTTTTTAAAATAATTCCGCATCTGCTTCTGTGCTTTTGGAATTTCTACTGGTTTATTCTGTTTGAGGACTGGGATATTTCGTTGGATCTAGTTGGCCACCGGAAGGCCACAACAGTTGTAAAAGCTTGCCCAAGATTAATAAATTATTGCAATCACAAGGTACTCTTCATTTTACTTCTTACAGTTTTACTCTCTTCGTTTTACTTCTTTTTGCAGCAGTTATGTAGTTTTTTTGATCTTGTATTGCCGTTTAGGGTCTTCACTTGCAAGTCAGTTGCTTTGCTGTGGGAAGTCGTGATAAAACTTTGAGTGTTTGGCTTATACCGAGAGTGGATCGTCCATTGATAGTTCTTCACAAACTTTTTAAACATTCTATTCTTGATTTTTCTTGGCAAGTTCTTGTGTATATAATATAGTTCTCAATTCATTTTTTTTTATTTGAGCTTCTCAGCTTACTTTACTGCCTTGAGCCCACATATATTTTTCTCGTTTTTGCTCTTTAAATCTGTTATACTATATCTAATAAGTTAATAATCATCTCACTAAGCTCTTTTGTTCGCGAGCTGGTTTTACTCTTTTTTTAGGCACGATTTTCATTTAATTATTTGCTCTATGGATGGGTCGGTAAAATCTGTTGTTTTCAATGAAAATGAAGTTGGTCATCTTTTGACTGCAATAGAAATGGTTAGTTTGCTTTTGATTGATAATTTTTTTCAAAATTCAATTTTTTTGTCTTCTTCAAAGATTCTCTTAGTACCACGTAAATGCTTTAATTTCTGGTTTCGGGTTTTCAAGCTTTTCAAATTTTTAGAATGGTTCAGAACTAAGGATATATGTTTTAAATCTGAAATGTTTTTAGGTTTTTGACCAGTTTTTTGACATAAAGCTTGGGCAGCAGCTGAAAAGATTGTTATTTTAAAGATATTGTATTTTGAAGGGTGAAGTTTGTGAAAGACTATATAGTACAATGCCGTCTCAGTACAATATTCACGGTGTATTAAATAGTAGTTCTGTATTGAGTAAGCCGAACGGAAATGTATTCGTAGACGATTATGAAAAGATTGTGGAGCAGAATAAAGCAGAAAGAACCAAAGACCTTGTAGAGACGAAAAAGAAAGAGGAGCTTATGCAGAGGGCAACTGTTGGCGTTAAATGCGCCGCAGAAGATTCCATCCAGTCCAAAGAAAGCACAGTGCCACCTGAAAGTAAATTTAGTTTTAATCTAACTGACTAAGAGAAAATAGAGATGAGAAATTGTTTTTTTTATAATTTAAGAATTGCGCGTGGAAATCAGCAGTATGACATTTGTTTTGAGCATGTATGTGTACTAAAATCAAGCTTATTGCAATTTCTTCTGGAAACAGTTTAAAGTTGATTCTATTTTTTTCAGTAGTCCGCTTTTGAGTATTTATTTTTTTACAGGTGCCAGTCAGAAACCCGAAAACAAACAGGAAATCATACATCCATCTCAGCAAACGGAAGTTCGTACCAAAAGCGGAAAGCGGAGGATACAGCCTGTTTTTGTCGCATCCCTTGTTTCTACTGATCCTGAAGGTGCTGGGACCGAAGATATTACGGATTCCAGGTGTTTTGATTTTTTTCTTAAAGTTGATATTTTTTAGCGGATGTGTAGAACTTTATCTGATGTTTTAGAATGAGCTCACGGAAATATTGGGAATAATTTCCTCACTTTGAGTGTTTTTTACTGAGTCTCGACGTTGTTATTATATTATTTCATTTATTGCTCTGAATTGCTTCATTACATTTTTACCAGTGTACCTTAGTTTCCTTTAGAATAATTCGCTTAGTTTCACTCATGATTGTAAGTTATTTAAGCTTGCAAAACAAAAGGGTCGCAACAGAGGTGGAGAAGGTCACACAAGTTGTTGTAGAAAGTGAAGTACTGGCTGTTGAAAAAGAGGGCTGTTTGGTGGAAGAATCGTTCCCCGTAATTGATGAAGAGCCTGCAGCAAAGCAGTATAGACAGGTTTTTCGTCTGGTTTTCTTGAGTTGTATTCGTTCCCAAAAAGAGGGTTTTTAAGTATTGAGAACCAGTTTTGACGTGACTTTGAAAAATTTTAGCTTCCCGTTTTGTCGGAGAAACCTCAACTTCGTCTGTTACCTGCTTTAAACCCTGTTTCTGCTGTTGTTAAAGAAAGTCGTGTGGTAAATTTTGCTGTGGCGCACCAAAGGCGAGAGCTCGTTGTAAAAATAAACGAAGTAAAGTTTTGAGAATTTAACATCTTACTTGATTTTATCATTTTAAAGCTTGTTCATTCATGGCATTAGAAAAACATCGTTGTTTTGCTGTTCTTTAGCCTGTAAAGGACGTTGATACGGTACAAGCAGTTAACGAATTTGAAATATGTGCAATAAAAATGAGCGTTATACGCGGTAGTCTTCGGCAAATTGAGAAGTGGAGGACTTTGATAGATCCTGTTGTGGTTGTGCTTGCTGCGAACAAGTAGGTTGAAAGGTTTCCACCAACTGTTAAGAGGACTCTGCAAAGGAAGATTTTTATTTTGGGCTTTGGTTTTTTGAACAATTTTGAAACTTCTATCAGCAGGGTTTTTTATTATTTTCATTTTTCAGCCGATGGACAGCTGCAGCGTGCTATGACCGATCAGTCATTGTTTTATCGACTTCTTCGGGACGTATGATATTTAGACCCTATGTGGATTCAGCCGCGTCATCTTTAATATTAAAAGAAGATTTCCTCTCGATTTGTACTTTTAGTGGATATATTTATGTTTGGTTGGGATCCTACGTTTATTTGAAAAAATTGATTCCTTTTGTTTTGCGCAGTAAAGCGTCTTTTGTTCCTCGAAAATTTTTTGAGCCGTAGCAAAAAAAATTTTTTTAGGAATGTTGAAGAACGCAACTGCATTTTATTTCGCCAAAATTTAGCTGATCTCTTTGAGGAAGGTTGTTTTTTTTTCTTGCTATTTTTTTTTAAAATTCAAGTAGTTTAAATGAACGCAAGAACGCGGGAGGTTTTTTCAGGTTATTTTTCAAATACTGAGTACTGTAAATTATCTGATCATAGGATCTCTAGGTTGAATCAAAAGATTCCATTAGTAATTTTACAGCAAAAAGAGACAGATAGTCTTAAGTACAGGTTTCGAAGGGAGGATGATTAGAAAAAAGGTAGAGAGTAAAAAGTGTAATCTATTTATTGCAGTAAAATATGCTGTGGTTGCAAGTGGAGTGTTAAACATAATATTTATTTCAGGTGATCAGTTATTATCTCATCAGTTAGCACCAAGAGGGATCCCCGTTTTGACTCTCTCTTCAAACAAAACTTTTGCGTATTCCTACAAAATTGGTTGTTGGTAAGCAAATTTTCTTTCGTCCTAATTTTGAATTGTGGATCGCAACTCACAACTTTGGCAAGTTTCTTTGATTAGGGTAATAGATGTCATCTCGCTTTATTCATTTATTTTTTATCCCCCTGTTCTTATTCGTTGGTTAGCATTCTTAGGGCTTTAAAAACAGTCTTTTGGTATGTGTTGGTTTATTTATAAAGGAAAATTGGTTGAAAATTATTGTCAGCAGAAATATATCTTGTGAAATTTTCTGTTTCTTGTAGGCAAAGGATGAGTGAAGGGCTTCTGAACTGTGTCAGTTCCATCAACCTGAGGGAGTACCCTGTTGGGAAAGAGGCGTTGATGAACGAAATTAGTGTTTCCAATGCCATGTATTTTAATTCTTTGTCCATATAACTCTCAGACTACTTTGGAGAGACTTTCCAAGCATTTATTCAGGGTTATGTTAGGATGGATTTGGTTTTAGGGTTTTTTCGTCGGCAAACGCTGCTGAAAAGAATCTTATGCTTCAAGGCTTTCTAGAGGAACGTCTCTGCGCAGCACGTGCGCTCGATTTATCAGAAGTATTTATGTTGTACCTCCCATGCTATATAAAAGTTCTAGTAGACTCAGGTATATGCTTCTATTTTTATCATTTGGCTTCTAGTTTTTTCGTTATTTTTCCAGAAATTTTTATTTTTGGGTTTTTACCATGAAAGGTAAACCTAGGAGCTCATTTTTCCTTTTAGAAAAAAAGACTTTGTTTTAGATAATCACTAGCAGTTACGTTAAGGATGTTTTTCAGTTGCTAGAATTTAAAAACAAGTTTATCTTGTCTGTTTTACTAAATTTTTCTGAAATATTTCTTTTTTGACTGTAGGTGATGTCGAGAAGGTTAGAGAACTCGTTTCTTCTTTGTATTGTGAAGAAAAAGTTTGTGGAAAGCTAGATCGAGCAAGGGTCCTTAGCGAGATCTATTCTGGAGTTCGCGACGCTTCTGCTTTCGCGGATATTGCATGCGATTTAAAGCTAGTTACTTCATTATCTTCGTAGTCCGGGTTTGGGTATCTTCTTGTTTATGGACCGCGCTTTTTCCGATTTATTGTTAATTCCATGTTGATTTCGTTGTTGCAAACTGCATTTCTTGAGGTCTCATTTTTAAGTTTTAATTTTTCATTTATGTTATTCTTCCGTTTTTCAAAAATAGCGATTGAAACAGTACTGTTGAACAGTTTTAATTTCCATCCTCCTTTCGTCTGACAAATTTCTTGTTTCGTTTTGCTTCTTTTTCCAGCATTTTACGGGTTACTTTCATGATCTCTATTTCGTTGTAGCTTCTTTCCT